GCACGAAAATTTTATATCTTTTTTGAGTGATTATTGGGCAGCACTGGGGACAGGGCCCAGCCAATTACATGGCTGCCGCCCAGCCGCCCACCCTTCTGCCCTCTGCAGAGGGAGCAGACATAGATCCACCCTTCTGCCCTCTGCAGAGGGAGCAGACATAGAACCCCCCGGGACCCCGCGTGCTGCCTGTGGGCTGCCAGCAGCACCTGCACTCTGCGAAATTCTTTTTTTTTTTTAAGAAGCCATGGGCTGGGGATTTAGCTCAGTGGTGCCACCACCTGCTTTGCAAGCACAAGGACCGGAGTTCGATCCCTGGGACTAAAAAAACACGCAAAAAAAAAAAAAAAATTCATTGTTTATGGCTTCTTAGCCTTTTGGCTCAGATCAAGTGAGGAAGTGATGCACATTTATCATTGTCTCCCACACCCTTTCCATCCCAGCCCTGCGGAGGAGGGCGGAGCCCCTGCCCAGCCAGACAATCTGCCAATCTGTGTCCTGCTCCCGTCCCCGCCCCCGGAGCTGCCCCCAGCCGTCCGCACCATATGCAGAGGCGACTGGCAGGGCCTGTGCCGTGAGGGCAGCTGTGCTCCTTGCCTAGCAGGTCCTGTGGGGTCCCAGGGGACACACCGGGCCCTCAGGAGGCAGGGGAGCCCTAGGCTAGAGCCCTGCTTGGGGGCCCGTGGAAAGGCCAGGCAGGCAGGGATGAGCTCAGGACTGGCTCTCGGGATGGCCTGGCTGCCGGTCCCTGGCCCAGGGTTGACTCCGGGCAGGAGCGGCCTGGTGCCTGCTGTGAGGATCAGATCGGAAGTGACTCAGAGAACTGCCACCGTGCAGGGGGGCAGCCTGCCCCTGAGCTCAGCCCCGGCTTCAGGAATGCCAGGGGGAGTCCAGAATCTGAGGGAGCACAGCCAGAAGAGGCTGGGGCCTCCTGCCACGGCAGAAGGGTGGCCGGGTCTGTCTTCCTGTCTCCCCTTCCAGGAGGAAGTGTGCTCCTCCTCAGCCACAGCCCACCCCCAGCTCTCAGGCTGTGACCATCGCAGCACATGAGGTGACTGCATGGCCACTCCTAGGAAAGCCTTAGCCACCAGCCAGAGGAGGGTGCTGCGGAGCTGATGAGGGCGCCCGCAAATAGAGCAGCACCCAGCGCTGATGAGCAGATGCTGAAAGCGCGACTCTGGAGGCCAGCAAGGAGACAAAGGCGCCTCTGAGCACCACAGCACAGCGAGCGAGTCGGGGCTGGAGAGGAAGGGACAGAGCCACCTTTGTCACACAGGACCAGGCCGCAGTGCAAAGTCAACTGAGACATCCCAGAGGCTTTGCACGTCTGTAAGAGTTCCCCAAAGGTATTACACTTGAAGTCCACGCTCAGGACTCAACTGGTGCCTGCATATCAGCCACAGCGTTGAACATAGATTTTTACAAAAAGATATCCTTCATAATCTTGGAGTGACACGTGTGCCGCTCAGCGTCCCATTGCTGTGACAGCACACCTGCCACCATCAGTGTGGGAAAGGCCTCCATGGGCTCACGGCGTCAGAGGTTTCAGTCCCTGGTCACTTGGGCCTGCGGCTGCACCATACATCACAGCTGGGCATGTGGTCAAGCAGGATGCCCACCTCCTGATGGCTGGGAAAGAAAAGGTCAAGAGGAAGAGGCCAGGAGCCCACTGTCTCCTTCAAGGCTACACCCTAGTGATCTCTTTCCTGCAGCCCCGCTTCCTGAAGGCGCAGCCACCCCCAGAGTGCTACAGGCTGATGACCACACCTTCAGCACATTCCAAGTGCAAAGCATAACAATCTACAAGGTCACTGTGAGGAAAATCAAGAGATAGTGGATTAGACAGTTCCCAAATTAATTTTCAAGCTGATTGGCAGAATAAAAAAAAAAAATCTCTATCCAAATTCCAACTTAGTTTCTGTGGGATTTAAAATTTATATAGAAGCCAGATGTGGTGGTGTGCACCTGTAATCCGGGACTCTGGGAGGCTGAGGTGGGAGGATTTCAAGTGCAAGGCCAGCCTGTGTAAGCCAATGAAGCCCTGTCTCAAAAAGTAAAAAGGGAGGGCCGGGGATTCAGTTAAGTGGCTCCGTTGCCTGCCTCACAAACGCAAGGTCCCAAGTTTGATCCCCAGTACCAAAAAAAAAAAAAAAAAAAAAAAAAAAAAAAAAAAAAAAAAAAAAAAAAAAAAAAAAAAAAAAAACAGTAAAAAGGGGTTGGAGATGTGGCTCAGTGCAAGGGCCCCAGGTTCAATCTCCAGCATAGCAAAACTTTAAAAAATCATATGGAGGTATATATTTAATTAAACAAATATTAATGGAGCACCCAGTATGTCCAGGGGATACTTCCACGACTCACAATGCCTCCAAGAAGTGAACAACAGACAGAATAAATTAGCAAGTTACCCAGTGTGGCAGAAAACAGTAGACACTTGAGAAAAACTGAAGACACAAACAGGGCGGTAGGTCTACAGAGGGAGCAGGACAGTTGAGGTGGTATCAGGGTCGGGGACAGCTGTGAACACCTGGAGGGGTAAGGGGGGCATGCCTTGTTGGACATCGAGACATTTAAAACATTAATAGCCAGGACAGCACAGGATGGGCAAAGAGAGGTCTGAGAAGCAAGAGCAATGGATTCAGGGTCCCAGGAACAGACCTGACCTGTAAGGATGCCCCATCTGGAGCACACAGCCGCAGGGGGATGGGCTCCCCCAAGTGACTGGGGACAGCAGCTGCTGACATGAGCAGGACAGTGAGATGCTCCTCCTAATCCACCCTTGGAAATCAACACTAGGTGCACAAGACAGGGAAGGGTTCAGACACCAGGGACAATTGGTACATGGGGGATGGGTGGTATCAGGAGGAATCAAGCTCTGGGGCCAATGGCACGAGTCGGCAAGGAGTTGTTACAGTGTCTGTGCAGTCAGACCTCTGTGCTGGTGTCCACCAGTGTCTGTAGCTGCTCCCAGCACTAACATCACAGCCTGAGCCCCCCAGGCATCAAGATTCTCCCAAGGAGCCTGGCCTTGCACTGCAGGGCTCTAGCTCCTAAGAGAATCGACAAGGAGTCACTGCTGCTGATCTGATAGGAGGCAGAGCGCAGGGGGTGACGGAGGATAGGGAGCAGCTGTGAATACAGACAAAGCTCTGCTCCTGCTGTGTGGCTGGCTCCTGACTGGCCATGCCCAGCACCGGTCTAACCTGGGGACCCTGCTATGACACATATGGAAGATAATACAGAAGACAGATTCATGCATGACCCTGAGGTCCGGCAGGATTTCTCAAGAAAGATGCAAAAAGGCTGAACAATGAGAGGGCAGTGCTGATGATTATTAACCGTGCATATTAACAGGTCTGTGCCACGTGAGTAAGGAGCGAGGCACAGGACGAGACAGTGGGGCGGGTGAAACTGACAAAGCCCCAGCGTGTGCAGGAAGAACTGCAGCAGGTCGGAGGCAGAGGCAGAACACAGTCAGCCAGACAGGAGAGAACCTGCCTGGACCCTCACAATGATGTGGCCGTGTGCCTACTGGCAGATGGCAAACACTTGGCCCCATTCATCATGGATTTGCAAACCTACACCGTGAATTCAACCCGTGGCCCAGTGAGATGCTATTCTGGGCCACGCAGTGCGGCCGTCTGAGGCGGGTAACTGGAGCTTCCTAGTCACTGTGCGGTCCGCTGAGACACGAGCAGGCTGCGGACAGCAGCGCAGAAACGCTGCAAAGGGCCGCAAGTCCTGCGCACCGTCCTCAGCAGCACTGCTGGCGACAGCTACAAACCAGACACAGGCCGAGTGCTCCTCACCCTGGGAGGCAAGCTGTCCCCACAGTGGAACGCGACACGGCGGGACAGGGCACGCACCAGAAGCACGGGAATCTCACCAGCACAGCGCCGACAGAGGAGACAAAAGCCAAGCAACGAAGGCCAACCAATCTCATTTCTCTAAGGCTCAGGGAAAAGCGTGTGGTCTGAGGTGCGATCAAGCGCTAAACTATGGAGAACCCCAAGGAAATAGCACAGTAAACCTGAGAGTGCTGACAGCCGCTCAGGGGAAACAGGGAGCTCAGACTGGGAGGGTCCCTGGAGCTAGTGTGTTCCGCAGTGTCACCTGGCTGGAGGCCAGACCTCCCCCAGCTATTGCTGAACCGTGCACACACCTGCCACACGCCTTTCTGGGTCCCGGCTCACTAACATTTGCCATCGCATGAATGCGTTCCGTGCGTCACGACATCCCTTAGGTCAGGAGCTCGACATGTCTGCTGTCCTCAAGGGGTTGCCTTGGCCTGGAACCTGGCCATCCTCCCACCCCTGCTTCTCACCCAGCAGAGATGAGGGGAGCCCTGGGGCGGGGCAAGTGGCTCCGGAACCCGCCCTGGACAACAGCTGCCCCAGCAGCCCCTCCTGGGCCTGGGCGCCAGGCCAGTTCTTTGGGTGTGTATTGGAGAAGGTTCCGTAGGGCAGCAGGGTCAGTGGGAAGAGTGATTGCACAAAGAGATGAGTTAGGGAGAATGCAGGATGAGAGGCGGAGTCGGCAGTGGTCGTCGGCACCCTGCGAGGCGGATGCCCTGGCTCGGGTCTCTCCCAGGGTCGTCACTGTGCTCTGCCTCCCAGGAGTCGCCTGCCCAGGACCCCAGCCAGATGTCCCATGTGCTCCTTCCAGGGACTTTCCCACCAGGAGACACTGCACTCTTTGTACTTGTACCTCAGCAGTGACAGTGCTTTAATTCTTTTTCTTTCCTCCTCAGTACCAGGGATGAACTCAGGACCTTGCACTGTGAGGCAGGCCCCCACACCACTGAGCTACATCCCCAGCCTTGGTTCTTTAATTCTTGCTCTGGGCTGGCCCCACCCCTGAAATGCCTTCGGTCCCAGCATCTTTCACCCCAGTCCCTCTCTGACTTTCTTAGTGTTGTCTTTGCATTAGAAGACAGACTCCCAGCTATTAGTGATGCCCACGGCGCTCTTTGTTTATTTTTGATTTTTTGAGACAGGCGATCCTTCTTCAGCCTCCCGAGTGCAGGATGCAGGTGATAGACAGCTAAGTTAGAGGTATTCAGGGAGCCAGGCAACTGGGTCCCAGAAGTCAGTGCCAGATGAAAACACAGCAACGCAGTGGCCGGAGGCGCGTCTGAAGCAGGCTAAAGTCACGCTGACCGGACTGCGCACTTCCCTGAGGGACGGACAGAAGCTGGGGGTTACCGGCGCCCTTGCGGGCTCTCCCCTTTTCCTCACGGCCAGTGCCGCACTGTGGTGGGTGCCCCCCAGGCCCCGCAATGAGACCGAGGCCACCAAGACCAGGGCTACAGCTTGCCCACCACGGTGATGACGCCAGGGTCAGCATTGCCTGCACCACTTACTTGTAACCTTAGTGGGTGCTTGCAGTTTTTACCACATTGTGCCCACCCCTGGCGACTTTGCTCTATAAAACTTCCTCTGAGAAGCAGACTGTCTGGCAGCCCCTTTGGGACCCCTCCTGTCTTGTATTCCCCGTTCTTAGTCCTCGCTCCTGTTCCCAGTAAGTTTTCCTGCCCTTAACTGTGTCCGGGGAACACAAGCTCATCGTGGCCAGCATCTAGCGTGTTGCAAGTGGCATTGATCGTCCCAGATCAAGATGGCCACAGATGGCGCCAGGGGCAGCATCTGCACGTGGGAGAGGAGGAGGCCAGCTTGGAACCACACGTGGGGTGACCGGGCTCGAACCCCACCTAGGGAGCACGGGGCAGACTTCCCCATCTTCTCTTCTGCTGGCTGCGGCAAGGACTTCCCTTGTGTGCTCCGCCTGACACACATGCCAAGCGCTCGCAACATCTAGTAACAAGTCAGTGGGTCACAAAAACAGCCTTAGAAACTGGATCTAAATGGGCGTGGTGACCTGGGAGTCACAGTCACCTGGGAGGCTGAGGCAGGAGGACTGCAAGTTCCAGGCCAGCCTGGGCAATTTAGCAGTTTAGTGAGACCCTGACTGTTGCAAAAACTTAAAAATATAAAATAGAACTAGGGATGGACAGTAGTTCAGTGAGAAGGTCCTAGTACTGCCCAAAGAAAGTAAAAGGAAAGGAAAAAAAAAGGCAATGAGGATCTAGTGAGACATAGTGCCACAAACCTATAATCCTAGGTCTTTGGAGGCTGAGGCAGAAAGACTGCAGTGAGTTTAAGGCCAGCCTGGGCTGCATAGCAATACCCTGTGTCAAAAAACCAAACAGAAGAGAAGAAATAAAGAAAGAAGTGCGGGGGAAGGAAAAGGAACATAAACAGGGACCTAAGCGGGAGGGGAGTGCACTGCATCACAGCCTCCCCCGGGAAGATCCTGCATGACCCTGGCCAAGGACGACTCTTCATTTCCTCCCCTGCCCGCCGAGCCTTAACTCCGCCACAGGGCCACAGTGTCGCTGGTCATCAAGAAGAGGCCTGCGGTTCCACCTGGGCCTTTCCCTCCAGGAGATCACAGGTCCTTTCCAGGCAGTAGCGCCCCGGGGAGCGCCAGCGGGCACCAAGGGCACGGGGCTCCCCCGTAAAGCCAGGCCAGGCCAGGCCAGGGCCCCTGCTGAGCGAATGGCAAGGCTGGTCCCCCACAGAACAGACCTCGTTCCCAGCTCCGGGGGAGGCTGGGGGCGGGGGAGGACGAACTCTCACAGACACCAACTATTTCTGAAGTGCTTTCCGTAATTGCTGTTCTGTCAGGTTTCAGCCTGGTGGGAGCTGCGTCGAATCACTGAGTAGGAGTTCAGAATAGACAAGTTAATGGTCCATGCGCAGGGAGAGGCGCTGGGTTTCCGGGACGGCAGGGCGCTGGCCGCGACCACCACAGCCACACACGGGGGGAGGCTCCAGGCCCGGCCCATACCCCTCTGGGAGCACAGGGCCGCGTATGCAGAAACACAGGTTGAGGAGGGCCTGCAGCTGGGGCAGGGCTGAGCCCCCACCCCGCACCCCCGGCCTTGGCCCTGCTTTAGCAGCCCAGAGGGAGCGCCTGGTCTCTCCTGGCCCTGCTCTGGATCTGCGGCTCCACCTGCCCTCACCTTGTGGCACCTTAGGGCTTTTCTGTTGCTTGTTTTGGTTATGAGACAAGGTCTCACTTCATACCACAGGCCTGGCTCATTATGTGTCCCAGGTTGGCCTTGAACTCGCAGCAATCCTGCCTCAGCGTCCCAAGGGCTGGGATCACAGGCATGTGTGCACTGCACCTTAGTTGTGAGAGGAGGCAGTAGAGTCTACGGCAGGGCTAGGGACAGTGAGGACTTCCTCACGCGTCCCTCCGCCTACTCACCTGCCCGTCCATCCACCCACCCACTCGTCTATCCATCTGTTCTTCCACCCAGACATCCAGCCCGCCCTCCTCACTTACCTGCCTGACCACCGAAGCACCCACCGGTCCGTCTGCATCCCCCGTGCGCCACCCATCTACCCCCACCCAACCCTCCACTTCTCCACACCCCTTCCCCGGGGATCAGGAGACAGAGACGCAGACAACACGATCCCAGCTCTCAAAGAGCAGAACGCACCATCCAAGGCAGGGAGGACGTGAACAGGAGCCCCGGAGGAGGGGCCACAGGAAGAGCCAGTCCAGCCTCCACATCTCGCGGCCACGGAGGGCCCGGGACGTCTGACTGCCGAAGAGGGGCACGGGAGGAGCAGCTAAACGCTGCCCAGAATGCGTGGTGAGGAGGACGAGGACGGTCCCGGGAAACCCAACCCCTGCAGCGGAAGGTCACGGGCAGTGCAGGAGGTCAGCTGAGAGGAGCTGGCCACCGGAGGTGCCTAGAGCACGGTCACAGAGGCGGGGCGCTTGGAGGCGTAGACCCTCAGAGGACAGCGGGCCATAGCACAGGGAGGGTTTGGATCAGGGAGTGGCGGGGACACAGAGCTGAAGGAGATGGAGTGGCCTGGGGCCTTGAGCATCACGTTCAGAGGGAGGACAGCACTGATGAGATTCGTCCTAGGGCCTTCAGGGGCGAGGGCGGTGGGTAGCAGCAAGGACCATGGCTTTGCTAGGGAGGAGGCCAGCGAGGGCACCCTCACCCGAGCACCTCCCGGTGAGGTGAGGACAAGGAAGCTGGGGAGGGGTGGTTTCACCCAAGCACGTGGGCTCCCCGGTGTCCCCAGACGGTGGTGGTGGCAGAGAAGGGGTCACTCTCGCTGCCCGCTCTGTGCCCTTCAGCTGGAGTGCCAGCCCTGGCTGCCTAAACCAGGAAGTCGCAGCCTCTCCGGGACCTGCTGGCCAGCTGAGAGAGGACACAAGGTGGGAAGGACCAGGAGGTGTGAAGCCTTAGGAGCCTGGTTCCCCACTGCTGCTGCAGCCCCAGGGCCAGCACTTCTAGAGGAATTCACTCCACAAAGGCCCCCACGCAGTCCACCCCAGGACACACGTGCTGCTGCCTGGAGAGCTCCCGGCCCACAGGAGAGCCTTCCTCTGGCGCTGCTATCCTGAGCACAGCGAGAACCCGGGCATCCGGCTGGCACAGCCCTCTTCCACACCCTTCCCGCTGCCTGGTGTTCCACCACCGCTCCACACGGCCCGCCTGCAGTCCGCTGCCCTGCCACTGCGGTGACCCTGCCTTGGCCTGGGAGAACACTCCATACCCCAAGTTCAAGACAAAACAAGCTGCTGTCCGCTAGAGCAGGACAAAATCCAGAGCAAGTTTTCATCTACCCATCGGTCAATGGCCACTTTGTAAGGTTCCAGAAGCTGGCAGTCGGGACAGCCCCTCTCACAGACTCGGCCATACAGCGGGCACCAGCCCAGCCCTCAGCACTCCACCTCTTAAGGTGGCCACTCCTTATGTATTTTTAGTTTTAGCTTGTTTTTTTATGTTTTTGTTTTTTTTTTTTCCTGAGACAGGTTCTCCCTATGTAGCTCAGGCTGGCCTTGAACTCACTACATAGCCCAGGAGATCCTCCTGCCTCAGTCTCCTGAGTGCTGGGATCACAGGTGTGCAACACCATGTCCTGAAAGGCAGCCACTCCTGAACACCACGAGCAATGCAGTTTGCTCGGAGATGGTCCTGCCACCAGTTCACTTCTGCGTTAGCAAGACATCACTGCCATGCCACCTCTCCTGGCAGAGTCCCTCCCAGGTCCCAGCACCATGCCGCTTTACCCTCTCCCCCATACCCAATCCAGAGCCAGATTCCGCCAGGACTCTGGGCGCCCAGCACAGGCCAGGTGTGGGGGCGGGGCAGCTGAGCTGAGCAGGAAGTGAAGTTGGTAGGCACCGAAGTGAATGCTCAGCCCTGGAAGGGAAGCGGGAGGAGGGAGGGCCTCCTGCACCCTGCTGTGCCAGGCACATGCAGTCTTTGGATTATTCGGAATGTATAACGCAGACAGGGAGTGTGAGAGCTACACAAATACCTGCATACGTGCCTGATTCGCAGGGTGACAAAGCACATCCGGGGTACTACTGCCCAGGTGAGGCCGTCAGCTTGGACAGTGCTTCCAGAGCTCCTCTGTGTCTGCCTCACCACTCACGACTGGCTTCCTCCTCCTCCAGGCCACTATTTCAATGTTTTGTTTTATTTTGCTTTTGGTCTTTGAGATAGCATCTCATTATATAGTTCAGGCTGGTCTCAAACTCACAGTGAGCCTCCTGCCTCAGCCTCCCTAGTACTGGGATTATAGGCAGGTACCACCATGCCAGGCTTCGTCAACTTTTTTTTTTTAATTTAATTTTGTTCTTTTGCAGCACTGGGGATTGAAGCCAGGGCTTGCACCCTAAACTGCATCCCCAGCCTTTCTTGAGACAGCAGCTCCATAAGTTGTTCAAGCTGGTCCCGAACTTGTGACCCTCCTCTCCCAGCCTCCTGAGTAGCTGGGATTACAGGCATGCACCACCACTCCCAGCATGTAGCCCAGGCTGTCCTGGAACTCCTGAAAATTCCCTGCCTCAGTCTCGAAGTGCTGAGATCACAGGTATTTGACACCACCCCAGGATTTCAACTTGTAACTGTTACCTTTCCTTTTTTCAGTTACATCAACTACGTCAGTCTTTTTCTAGGTAACTCTGCTCAGTTCTGGGAAGCTGTAGCTCTGAGGAGTAGGGTCAAGGAGCACACTGGCTCGGGGTGACGTGGTTGTCATCAGGAACCGGAGATACAGGAGGAAGACCTCCGTGTACAAGAACTGGGCCAGGCTGACATGGGCGTTCTGCCTGAAGGGTTAGAAATATGACATAGTGGCAGGGACAACATGTGCTACGCCTGTCCCTGGGGCCACCGTCCTCTGGGGGATTCTGTGCCCCTCCTCTTCCCCCTAACATTCCAAACTGGATCTTGTACTTGTATTTTTGTCTTCCTCTTTCCTGGTTTCTTTTCTTACTTTGGTGGAGATCTGTGTGTCTGAAATGTCTACACCAAGACCCTTATTGATAGTTTGGCTGTGTACAGAATTCTGGGTTGGACATCGTTTTCCTTCCACATTTTGAAGTTATTGTTCCACTGTTTTCTTCCTACAGCTGCTGCCATTGGGAGGTCTGGAGACATTTCACATCCTTTCCCCTTGCTTTTCTCTTTAAATGCTTGTAAAATTGCTTTTTACCTCCAGTGTTCAAAATTGCACAGTCACGTGGCTGGGTGTGGGTCAATTTTCATTCACCGTGGGAGTCACTACTGTGTCCTTTCTACCTAGCTGCTGCTCATCCTCTTTGGCGCTGATAATGTCTTAAATCAATAATTTATTTGACAGTTTATTACCCTGCATTTTCTCTGTCCTTTCTTTTTGAAACTTTGGTGAATAAAATAATTGGTCCTCTGAAGTAGAAATCTAATTTTTTTTGGATCTACTTTTTCTTATTTGCCATCTCTTCATTACTTCAATCTACTGTCTTATTTTTCCTCAACTATCTTTGTATCGTTCTATTTGGGTTTATTTATTTATTTATTTATTTATTTTTGTACTGGGGAATTGAACTCAGGTCCTATGCTTGTGAGGCAGGCAGCAGAACCACTGAGCTAAATCCCCAGCCCTATTCTATATGGTTTTTAATTTCTGCTACCAGTTTCTGATTTCCAGTAGATCTCTTACATAAATTTTTGTTATATTATGTGGGCGCATGTATTCCATGAGTGTAATAGCTCCTTTTGTCAATCTTAGGATAATGATGGCCCTTTCTCCCATTTTCTTTCCCTTGCACATATTTTTTGTTTGTTTTCTTGGGTTTGGCTTTTGTTTTTGTTTGCAGTGCTGGGGATCTGACTGAGGGTCTGGTAGGGAGAGTTTTACTCAAGCCACACCCCAGTCCCTACCAGCATAGTCTGGATTTTGTTGTTGTTGTTTTTACTTTTGGTATTTTGAGACAGGGCCTCACTACGTAGTTCATGCTGGCCTTGAATTTATGATGTAGCCCAGACTGGCCTCAAACTCTTAGCAATCCTCCTGCCTCAGCCTCCCAAGAGTTAGGATTACACTTGTACACCACCATGACCAGCTATAGTTACTGGTTTTGCCAGTTACTTTTTAGCTCCAGCTGACACAGCAGAAGAGATGATTTACTGTACCCACAGCTGAGAACAGAACTAGTCTAGAATGCCACAGGTCCAGGGCAAAGGGTAGTGCTTTAAGTATAAGCAAGATGGGTCCCTCAGAGGAGCGGGTGGCCATGAAGTCCCAGGTTCTCTGAGACAGGTTCTAGACAGCGGACAGCAGCACACAGCAGATAACTTGCAAAGCGTCCCTGTGCTCCTGTCATCCCCTCTGGCCTCCACAGTCACAGCTAGTTTGTGTGGACCTCGGTCTCACCTTTCACCTGTAGCCTGCATGCATCTTGGCTTCTTCTGCAACTGGTTTCTAGGAAGATGGTGCCGAGGCCAAGTCTGCCTTTCAAGTCAGGAGCCTCCCTTCAGCTCTAGGGCTCCTCAGCTGCCTGCTCCTGGTAAGGGGTGAGGGATTAGAGAAGCCTCTTGCATGGCACCCCAATCACTCTGGAAAATCAGCTCTTCAGCCAGGCAGTCTCAGAAGACCAGCCAGCTGTGCACGCTCCATACCCGCTCCACTTGGGGACAGCTGACACCTAGGCTCCCCCATGTGAGTGTGGCCATGTGACTGGCTCAGACAGTGGACAGGAGCAGAGGCCACCAGCTGGCCCGTCAGCCCCAGCCCTGGGTGCTCTGTCCCCTTTGAGGTGGGAAGCAGGTATAGATGCTCTGTTGAAAATGAGGCAGCCTGGATCCCCAAATCTCCACCCAGAGCCCCGTGCTACCCAGGAGCACCCAGCTCTGCGATGTGAAGGGCAGCAGCACAGGCCTCCCCCCGGGGGCTCGGCGGAGTGGTCACACAATCCACTTAGGAGCGGGACAGCGGAGCCTGCACTCCACAGGGATGGAGTAGCAGGGACTGAAGCTACCTCTTCTGGGAACAAGGAAATAACCGGGCCAGAGAGAGGAAACACTGCACAGATCCGGGACAGCTGGCCACCCTGATGCCAGGTGCTTTAAACTCTTGCTGGAAAAACGGGCTGGTTTAAATGTAAACAAATAAATGTTGATGGCTGCAACAGTGCCAGGCCTTCCTTTGTCCTCCTTACTGCCTTCCAGGCCACTGTCCCCAGGATGCTCCCCTTGCCTCCCTTTGCCTCAAACCTGGTATTGTGCCTCTGCGCGCCCTCCTCAAGAACAGCCATCCAGGGATCCAGCGGGCCACAGAAATGCAGAGCAGGTGCATGTGGGAGCCTTCCTCCTCCTCCAGGGCCCGCCCTCCCGCCGCCGCCCTGGGTTGCCTAGGAAACGCCCATGCGCCTCCACCTCTAAACTGCACTCTGGGCATTTTAGACCTGGCCTCAGTGCACTGGACAACCGGGATGCGGCGCTGCTGGAGGTGCCCAGAGGGCTGGGGGTGGGGCCTGAGGGGCTGGGGCGGGGCTTTTTGG